GATCCTCCTGCCTCAGCCACCTGAGTACTGGGATTATAGAAGTGTGTCGCATACATGGCCACACATGAGTTTTCACAGCTGAGATCACAATCAAGCATCATCTGGATCTTATTTAGCATCCTGATTTTTCTACTTATCTATTCTGTGACTTGGATACATTGATGCAAATTCAAGGCTTGAATTTGGTTTCTGATAGGGTGAGCTGAAATTGCTATGCACCTGAGTGTCCAGCCTGGCACCTGGTGGCAGAGTCAGCATCTGTTGTAGGGCAAAAACCAGCTTGCTCCAGCTGTGCCGAGCACATGTCTTCCTGGCTCTGTGCTCTATATGAAATATGACATTGGCTAGGAATGTTTACACCATGAAATTGGCAGAGGTTAGGAATTGGGGTCTCTTTTTCCAGGAGAGCTAGCTTTGAAGCACCTCCTCCCTGGCTCAGGTATGCCCTCATCACGAATCTCTGTACCCTAGTCATTCTCTGGGTCCTGATTGTCACTTGGCTGTCTGTGTTCTATAACACTCCAGCCAAGTGTCAGAATGGCTTGCACTACTGCTACAGCCGTCTATCCCTTGAGTTCCTGAGTAAGTTTCTCATGGTGGCGCTGCTGTCTGAAAACCGAAGTTGGTGGCGCTGGCCTAACCTTTAAGCTACAATCCCAGTGTGGCACTCTTTGGAGAACACAGAAGAGACTCTGAGTCCTGGCCCCCAACAAGGACACTCTAATGGGTACTGACTAACACAGTACTTGAACTAATCTTAAAATCCCTTTGAGGCAGCAAGTGCTATTTTAATCCCCATTTATGAATGGGGAAATAGACACCAAGAGATAAGTAACTTACACGAGGTCATACCATTCATAAGCAGAGAAACCAGGTTATAAGAGTCCCCCAACATTGGGGCCAAGGTCTGCATGGTGCAGATAGTGCTATGCTCAAGGGCCAGAAGAGGTGGAAATCCTGTACCAGTTCTGCGAGCTCATCTGTGCACAGGCTGGGCCACATCAGCCCAGGTGAAGGAGGTCTTCTGCCCTGAGTTAAGATACTATAAAATAGGGGCCAGCTGTGGCCCTCCCTCCCAGATGCATGCTTTTTCTCCCACCCTTTACTGCAGCCCCCAGGGCCTTTAAAATGGTGGAAAAGCAGAGGAAGAGGCACAAACAAGAGGTGGAGGAATGATCTGAAGTGGACTGAAGCCTGTGCATGTGGGCAAACCAGCTATGTCTGCAGAAGGCTTGGAAGGGGCAGGTGTCAGTGAGGCAGAGCAAGGGGAATTGGCTGTAGCTGAAGGCTCAGATATCGTGATGAGTGACATCTCCTGCCCACTGCTGCACAAGTGTGGCATGGATGGTACCAGTAGGTGGGACAATTAGCCTATATCCCAGAGCACCTAGTTCTATCATTGCTATCCTTCCCACTGTCTTTCTGCAATTAGATTGCTCTGGCTAATAGCTGCCAAGCCACTTTTTTTGAGTCGATGGGTCTATTAATTTCTTGGGGCTAATATGAGAGTAGGTGGGAGACTCAATTCTTTTCTGAAGCTCAGGGGCTAATTAGTCTATTTGCCAGGTCCCTGGAGGTGAAGACTGGAAGGGTGCGTTGCCGAGGTTATCAGATTTGGCTATGGAGGAGCCTAGTTTGTTGCCTGAGTGAGGCTGAAGAGCTGGGCTGCTTTGAGCAGGTAGCCTTGCTGGTGTGAAGCCTTGCTGGGGGACAATAGGATGCTGGGAAGTTTAATCTTATTCCAAATATCCAAATGCTAGCATCCAGCCTGCTTGATTTTATGTTCCTCCTGCCCAAGTAGAGTTCTTCCTGGCCTAATGTACCACAGAGAGCCAATCCTACACATTTTGAAGGCAGGAAAACAGCCCCTGGGAGGAGAGAGATTCCTACTGGATTTATGGAACGTTAGGACCAGAGAGAAGAAAGTTAGTTTCTAAAGTTCATACTGGGTTACTAAGGGCTCCTGAGGCTACTTCCTGGTTGGTCTGGTTTTCTCAGATTAAAAACAAACAAACAAACAAACAAAAACACAGTCATATCCTCATTCTAAAAGACAGCACCAGAATTGGGAAAGATCAAGATTTAGCATCCAGCTCTGGATTCAAACCTGTGCCACAGCTACCAGCTGTGACCCTAGAAGACAAGCCATTAAACCTGTCTGAGCATGTTTCTTCATTAATGAAGAAACACTGCGATGCCTCCAGAGTATGATGGGAGAATTCAAAGTGACAGAATAGTGTATATGACACAACAGGTGTCCTGTAATTACTACCCACCCCCCTCTGTTTGGAAATCTCACAGCATCTTCTCGCCCCTGTCCCTGTAGAAAGAAGAGGGAGAGAATGCCAGGCAATGATGTCACCTACAGGTCCTTTTGGCAGGCAATAGGAGTTCCAGAAGCCACAGGGGAGCTCTTCTGCCCAGTGCCTGGCCAGCAAGAGCAAAATACTGATGTAAGATAGTGGCTTTCCCTGTTTCCATGGCCAGGAGCAAAGTGCTGAGGTCTGAGAATACAAAAGGTTGTTGTGGGGAGATATACCAGGAAGTAAAAACGGACCTAAAATGTTCAGAAAGCAGAGCTCTGTGGGTTTCTGTGGGAAGATGCACTTCAGGTTTAGAAGCACAGGGTTTAGGTTTCAGGCTTCTCATTTGATGGGCTGTGGGTTCTTGGGAAAGCCGGGTAGGATCTCGCATTGTACATAAAACACAGCATAGTGTACATAGACCTGTTGTGCCATTGCAGAGGTGGAAAAAGCTATTTCTCCCTTCTGTTGGCATCCTTCCAGAGGTGGGGGAGAGGAGCTCTTGCTGATCTACTCTTTGCCTCCAGTAAGGCTCACCTGTCATGACCCATGGGTTCATGAATGGTCCTGGAGGCAGAGCTCCCAGCTGGTGGTCTAAGGTGGTCCTGATTGATTTGCCCTCTGCATGCTCTACCTTCTCCAAAGCGTAAAGGCAAGTCCTGGCATCTCTGCACTGTGACTCTGGGCCCTTTTCTTCCATGGAGGTAAGGATGAGGGACAAGGGGAGCTAAGTCTTCCCTGTTGTTGGAGCACCTGAAAGACTAACTCTGGGGGACAGAGCAACAGGGCAACTTTGGGGCTCATGGGAGTTTTCCAGGGAAGCTGTTGCTGGTATCTAGGAGAGGTGACTGTGTGCATCCCCTGGGTATGTAGGCAACCATCAACTATCTTTCATTGGTGCCAACCCAGTTACTCAGCAACAGAAGTGATTTCTCTGGGGTCTAACCAGCAGAATTATTATCAGGCTCAAACATATGTGGATTGTATATGTACACATCATTTGTAGATATTATGCAATATAAACAGTGCTCCATTGGACCCCTCAAGATTGTTAGGGTGATGGACTAGTTCACAGTAATATATTGCATACTCAAAAATTGGTTAAGAGAGCATGATGGCTCATGTCAGGACTTGCAAAGTCAAGACAGGAGGATTGCCACAAGTTTGAAGCCAGCCAAATTTGATTAAGAGGGTATATCTTATTTGTGTGTATATGTATTAATTCATATACATGGAGGTCAGATATCCACTCAGGGTGTCTTCTGCTAATTCTTTTCACCCTAGTTTTTGATACAGAGACTTTCACTGAATCTGGAACTTTTCAATTTGTCTTGACTGACTGGCCAGCAAGCCTCTGAGATCCACCCATTTCAGCCTCCCTAGGGCTGTGATTAAAGGTGCACACCACTGAGCCTGGGTTTTTATGTTTTAAGGTGGATGCTGGAGATCCAGACTCAGAGCCTCATGCCTGCACAGCAAATGCTTTAGCAATAGAGCCATCTTTCCAGCCCTCTCTGTAAATTTTTTTAAACCACAATAAGATAAAAATAAAAAAGACAATTAAAAAACAGAGTAGAGAAACAGAAGGAAAACTAACTTTGAAGTGACAGGTTAAATCCCTCCTCATCATGACCACCAGAAGTTTCTGCTGTTATTTCCATTGGACACAGGAGGAAAGCATGCTTAGGGGGCTCAGAAACATCATTGAGGTTGCACAGTGAGCTTTCTGCTCCTGGTTAGGGTGGGGTCTGTAGTGTCAAACCGGTACTACAAGAGCTGTCAGTTCTGGAAGGGAGAGGAACACTCCCTTTTCCATTCCTAGCTGGAAAAGCCAAGGGTGCTGACAAAGCCTCTCAGTGAGGCAGTGGATTAAAAAGACCAGAGCTTGACTCATCCCTCTTCCGACTTATTCACTCCGCCATGTGTTTAGTCATTCAACAAGCATTTAGATTTCTGCTCCTTTAGTAATGTGATTTCATTTGGGCTTTCCGGTGCCAAGGATTGAAACCAGGGCATCATTCATGCCAGGTGAGAACTCCACCACTGAGCTACATGCAGAGCCCTCAGCAAGCATTCATTAAAGGCCCAGTGCATGCTAGTTCATTCTCATCTTGTATCCATCCTCCCAACTACATTTTTGCTTGTTAAGATAGGGTCTCACTACAGCCCAGGCTATCCTTGAACTCACTAGGTAGTCCAGGTTAACTTCGAACTTACAGAAATCCTCCTGCCTTGAAGACCTTGCAAATGCAGACATGAGCCACCATGCTCTCTTAGCCAGTTCTTAAGTGTGCAGCTAATCATGATGCTCTTCTTATTGTTACCTAGATAACTGGGTTTACTGAAGGAAGGCCAAAGCAAAAGAGCCTTGTGTCTCTGCCCTGCCTGAAAAGGACACAGTTCCCTGTTTCCATTCCCACTTCTGCTGACAGAATATCTCTTCACCATGCTACAATCCTAACTCTTTTCTCCCTTTCATCTCTTCCAAGTCTTTGATTTTTTTTTTTTTTTTCTTTCCTCACTCTGCCATCCCACTTCCCTCAGGACCTTCAAGCCTATATCACGTGCCCCAGTTCTGGTCTAGCCTATTGCTCCTCCATACCATCCCCCATCCTTCCCTCCTGGGGTTTACCCACAGCAAAGCACTGTCCTATGCTGCTCTCAAGTCTTCCCATCCTCTCCCCTTGGTCTCCTCAGATCGGCCAGTGGCATGTGGCGGAGGGCCTCAGCATGGACAGCCGCCTCTACGCCTCCAACATCTCCGACAGTCTTTTCAACACCACCCTGGTCGTCACCACCATCCTGGTAAGTGGGCTTTCTCGGGCCTCCAGCTGCAGCTCCCGAGGGTATCTCCTCCCCAAGCTCTTTGCTCTTGGGCTTCCTGGGGAACAGAAGATGGGAATGCTAATCACAGCACAGAGGCCAATTTATGACACTGTAATTGCACTCCAGTTGCTGTCTCATATGGAAATGATATCTGATGAGCTGCTGAGCAGCTGGGGCAGAGGCAGGGCATCCACAGTGTGTGGATGCCTCTGCGGGGATCCGGGCAGCTAGGAAAGCTGTTTAGAAACCCTAGAAATGAGATCTTCTGACACGGGTGGGACTAGCTGGATCCAGTCTCCTGAGATGACCCCCACTCTTTCCAAGCTCTGCTTGATACCTGCTGGATACAAAATCAAGCCATTGCCCTGTCACACCCTCCAATAGATACTTTAATGTCTGTGGATTGCTGCAGCCTTCTCCTTCACTTCCAGAGTGTGACATGGGTTTTCAAGGAACCCCTAAGTCAAGAGACCATCTGCCTTTCTACTTGATTCATTTCTATTCAGTAATTACCAGTCTACCTCTCAACCCCACCCTATGACATGTGCCTGGCGCTCTGTTCGGTCATAAAAACCAAAGATGAGTACAGATTGGTCTGTATCTTCAAAGAAGTTGTCACTGAGCAGACAGGCCAAGTCAACTACCCACAGCCAAAGTGTTGCCATTACCCCTAGCCCTGAAGACCTCATGTTTCAAAAGATCTATCAATTAAGCCATCTAAGTGTTAAGCAATGATTACTTTGCTCCTCCCCACTCTGATTTTAACTAATCAAAAGGGTATTTCCCCACCTCACATAGCATCTCAATGGAGAAAGATAACTAGCATAGTCACACTGATACCTCCTCAGCTCAGAGCAGAGGTGATGTATAAGTGATGTATAACTGTGTAGTCTAGCCTCCACTAGATAGATGTACAAGGTCTGCAAGCATGCTTATTTCTCTTGGGCTTTCTTGATAAATTAGAAGAGTCTATATCCCTCCATTTAACCTTCAGGCACCTCCAAGACCCAGGAAGCCTGGGCTGGGATTACTGATCTATTATAAACAGGGTGGGCTAACAGCCAAGAGAGCAGTAGGAAGCTAGAGCCCTGAGGAGTGGAGGAAAGGGGGAGGGGTGAAGCAGCAAGCCTGAAAAAGCAACATTTGCAATGGACTTTGAAAGACAGGAAGCAATTACAGAGAATGGGAAAAGAGAATGAAGGGCAACATTGTTAATGCTTAGAAAATGCTAGAAAACATGGGTTTTTCCTGAAAATGGGCATTGGTTGGGAAAAGAAGAGTGTAATCCAGAATCAATCATCCTCAGTGTTTAGGATCTTGTACTGTAGGCCACTCCTTCTCTTCACTTGGAGAGGGGCCACTGAATGTTTCCATTTGTTCATCCAAGGAATTGGGCACTTCTATATGCTTCTATATGTTCTTCAGTATTCAAGAAACATCAATGAACCAAATGCAAAAAATCCTTGGAGCTCCTGTTTCAGTATAGAATTTGAGGCAGTAATAAAATGTCAGCAAAGCCTGAGTCTCTGATATTCAAAATGCTTCAGACCCAAAATATTTCAATTTCAAATGGTTCTCAAGTTTGGGAGTATTTGCATAGACATTGCTAGTTGAACACCCCTAATGAGAAATTCTAGACCCTGGGACACCTGGTAAGAACCTGTCAGCACTCAGAATGCTTCAGATTTTGAAGTAGCTCAGGTGTGGCGGGTTAGGGATGCTTAACCTCTGCTCAAACCGTTTGCATGCCTTAGCAGGTAGGCTGGGAGCAATGAGTAGGGTCTGTTCCTAGATGGTTAGGCGTGGCCTCCTTAAGGAGGCGGAGTCTCCTTAAGGAGGGAAGACAAAGGGGAGGGGCTACCCACCGCTGCCTGGAAACAGCTGGAGTGATGGGAGGGAACTGCAGATCCAGGTTTCCAGCTCCCAGCTCTTTACTCTGCACACTCCAGCCACTTAGAATGCCAGGAAGACTAGAGGGAGGTGGTGTCACCTATCCAGCTGAGAACTGGGGACAACCTAACCCTGCTGCCTTAGGGCGTAACTGCTGGGCTTTCCTTCCTGTGTCTTTCCTACTCTTTAGTCTCCTCCCTCCCATCAGCCATACCAGGGTTCAGCCCCCTCCTGTGCCTCTTTGTCCTTAGTCATCCACAGAGTCCTCCCAAGCCCCCTTCCTATTTGCTGTGTTTGTTTCCCTACTACTCTCAAAATCATTCTGTCATTTCCTTCCTGCCATCCAGCAGTTTCTTAGTTTGGTCTCTAAACCCTTCACACATGGAATAACCAAGTACCTCTCCATTCAGCCTTGGGGCCCAGGACTCTTCACTATGATGGTATGCTTTCCCTCCCCATGGATGCCTTTCCCCAACTCAAAGCTCATCTTTTCTCTGGAGTTCTTCTTGATTGACTCCTGTCTTTTCTTCCCCTGGCTCTTTCCGTACCCCTCTGACCAGACACATTTTCTCTTAGTTATTTGACTCCCCACATCTCCTTCATGAATGGGAGTGCCTCAAATATTGGGGTGCCTGACATGCATAGGAACTTGATAATTAGAGTCTGAATATGGGAATATCTTTGAACAGGATTCAAGGAAGGAATTTTGAGAAAGTGTTTAAAAGCTATGAAAAGTGGGAACAGGAGACAGGGAACCTGCTAGACTGTGTGTGTGTGTGTGTGTGTGTGTGTGTGTGTATGCATGTGTGTATTTGCCTATATATATGTGTGTGTGCCTATATGTGTGTGTATTCTAGTGTATATGTGTGCCTGTGTATGTGTATGTATCTGTGTATGTGTGTCTCTGTGTGTTCCTGTGTGTGTGTGTGTGTGTGTGCATGCCTGTGTATGTGTTCCTATGTATTTGTGTGTCTGTGCCTGTTTATGCGTGTGTGTCTATGTATGTGTATGCTTGTGTGTGTGACTCTGTGTGTATGCCTGTGTATATGTGTATCTGTGTATATGTATGTGTGTGTACATGCGTCTATGCATATGTGTGTGCCTGTGTGTATGTGTGTGCCTGTGTATGTGTGTGTGTATATACCTGTGTATGTGTATTCATATCAACACAGGAATTTTTGAGAAGTTAGATGCTGGCAGGATGATTCTGTGTGAGGCTAGTTCAAAGGAAACCACAGTCAACATCGGTTTGTTGCCTGGGAAAATGGAGCTGAGGTGGCCCATTCAAACCAGAAACTCCTAGTAGGAGCAAAGGTGCTAATTACAGCCCTATATGACCATTCATAAGCTCTCCCTGCAAATGGTGATCTTGAGCTATTTATCCCTTAAATTTGGGACATTCCCACCTTGTCTCACTCCTGCCAGGGACACTTGGGATAAGCCACAGCTGCAGTCCTCAGAACACATTTTCTGTGCTGGGTACCGAATTAATCAGGTAGCTGTATAGTCACCCCAGGTACTCCTAGCATTCCTGCTGATGACAAGTCAGCGTCCAGCTCCCTCATTTTCCAAAGTGCCAGTGAGCTGCAGGCCTGCTGATACTTTGGCTGTCCAACACCTCTCTTCCCTCCAAGATGGGCCTTGTGAACATTTACTTGGTGCATGGCAGTGGATTTCAAAGGAACTTGAGAGTAGAGCATAAGGAAAGAAGAATTCATGGCATCCCTTAGAAGGATTAGAACATACTCTGGTGCTAGAGTAGAAACAAACCCTCAGCCATGTGCTGTCCACAAGGCTAGAGGCCCTTCCCACTATATTTAGGGGCAGGGAGGGGGTTGACAGTGAAGGGAAGTGACAGCCTCATTGTCCCTTCATGAGAGCTGCACAGCCTCATAAACTCATCATCCATGGAGTGTGAGGAGGAAGAATTGGGTGGTTTTCACAGGTGCCTTGGTCTGAGCATTGTGATGATTCTAAGAAGTGCATTGGCATCAGAAGCAATATGACTCCAAGGTTAAGATGAGTTAGCGTAGACAGAAGATAAAATGGAGATGAGTGAGGCATGGAGAGGACCCTGAGCTGAGGACAGCCTATGTGGTGAGCAAGGAGACTAACTTGTCTCATCACAACAGTGGACTTGATCACAAGTGGGGCCACACATCACCTTCAACCCAGAGTTCACACCCTGACAGATAGTCCCTCTTCTTGCTTCTCAAAACTGCTCGCTCCATCCATCCCAGGGTCTCTGGTCTGCCTGGCCCCCCATCCTTCTGTGTAGAAGTTCCCTCTGGCTTGACACAGCATCTCAGCCTAGAAGCACATCCTTCTGCTGTGATGCTCAGCTGTTTCTGTTGCGGCAGGGCAGGGGAAGGGGGAATGGACATTCACAAACCTGTGTGCACCTTGCACACTCTGCTCCCTGTCACGCCTGGTTCCTGTGCAGTTCTGAGACCCACATATAGCATGGATGTTGAGCCTTTACTCCTCCCCAGCCCCCACCTTCGGCTCAACTCAGGCTGGCACTGGCTGGCACCGGTTTTCCTCTTCTCTGTGTCTGTGTTTGCACCATGCCCCAGACCTCTTCCCAACTTTGTCTCCACCCATTGTTTCCTGGGATCTGGGTCCACAGATGACCTCCTCTCCCCACCCCCAGCCCCCACATTCTGCCTTCTCCAACCTCCCAGTGGCTCTCCATCTGCCTCCTCCAACTGCAGGAGTTCCTTCTCACCTATCTGTCATCACATGTGCTCTGTCCCTTCCCACCTTAAAAGGAAGCCATCATCACATTGCCTAACACTACTATCATCCAACAGGGAATCACAGATGGCACACTCTTGGGTCCTCCCCAACCTGTTCTTTGTGGGGAACTGCAGCTTGGAGGGGAGGTGTAACTTTGAGGTGGGGGGGCCTTTGTGAGGCCACCCTGATACCTCTCCCTCCAGCTTCTCCAGTTGGCCCAGATACTCCCTTTCATCTTCTCTGTGCTGCCTTTGCCCCAATGCCCTGACAAAACAACAAAACCTCAAGGTCCAGCTTTTTTTTTTTTTTTTTAATCATGAATGACATGATTTTATTCTGCCTTATGGCTAAGTAATACTCCTGTGTGTGCAACATCTAATTCTTACTTAGCCTGCTATCTTAGAAATATTTTATTATTATTATTATTCCATAGCAGTAGGTCTGTGGAGGAAAGCCAAAATGAGAGGGGAGAGAGGAGGCCAGACTTCCAATAGCATAAAGGGTTTCACCTTGGCCTTCTATGCAGTGGGACTCCTGTATGTTTCTGATAAGAGAATGTCCTTCAAAGGACACTGTGGGGAGTGGGGAGAAGTGGGCACTAATCACCACCTCTAAGGCAGCATTGCTACCCAAACTATATCCCTCCTCCTTTCCTATGAAGTCTCTGCCCTCCTGTTCCCAGCCCTACCCATCCCACATGGCTGCAACACCAGGGCTAAGATGAGAATGACAGCTGCCCAGTTTTGCTGCAGGAAAACCCATACTTAATGCTGAAGGGGAACCACCAGGAGATGGAAGGCAATGACCGCTACGAGGGCTTCTGTGTGGACATGCTCAAGGAGTTGGCGGAGATCCTACGGTTCAACTACAAGATCCGTCTTGTCGGGGATGGTGTGTACGGTGTGCCTGAAGCCAACGGCACCTGGACAGGCATGGTTGGGGAGCTGATTGCTCGGGTAAGGAGTCCAGTGGTCTGTACTTGTGGGAGGGGGACAGGGGGGATGATGGAGACGTGGTGTGTTTTCCCTGTCTCACTCAGTCAGTCCCATCCCTCTCCCTCATTCTTAGATTTTTCTATCAATTCTAGGAAGCTTTAGTGAGCTGGCATGGAGCCAGGCACTGGTGCTATGTTTATGACTGCTATGACTCCTGCTCCAGGGTTCTCTCCTCCCAGCCCTGGAGCAAGTTGGATTTGGACTTTGGGTTTTATCTTTAGATAATCCCTGTATTGTTTGCTTGTTTGTTTGCTTTGATGGTTTCGTTGCTTATTGACACTCCCTTGTGAAAGCTTGCACAGGTCCTGGGAGAGCAGCAGATAGCAACACCAGCTTCCTTGGATGGTCTGGAGATGTACAGGAAATGTGGTAATACCAGGAGCTAAGGCTGAAGAGGTGTGGGTCACAGTGATGGTTAATTTGTTATTTCCTGTGTTATTTCTCCATCATAAATGTCCATCCACAGACCAAGAGCCAAAGTATACCTGCATGTGCTGTAGGTTTTCAGGGCAAATGGGTGACTTGTTTAGAATTCAGTTGAGCATCATAGAATGCCAGTCTTCTGTCAGGTTAAAGCAAGGGCATGGAAAGTTCTTCTGGGGGGCGGACTTGTTTTCCTTATATACATTATCAACAACTGTAAAAATTAATGAAATTGATGCTCACTTACTGTCCATGTTTCTACAGTTGAATTTTAATGGCCAGGACAGGCAAAGAGGACTAAATGGAGGCAGCACCGGTCTTGGTCCTTACGTGAGCTTGAACCCCCGTCTCCTCTCTGTGTTTTCCTCCTGTGGCCTCTTAGCACACACTCATGGTCCAGGGCCCCTCCATGCAGAATCTCGGGTCTCCTGGGAATATTTCTCTCCACTATGCGTCATCCCCACTTCACATATGAGCAGTCTGAAGCTTTGTGAGCTTAATGGCTTTGTTAAAAGTTGCACTGTGTTAGTTAGTGCTGGGATTCAAGCCCAGATCCCTTTCTCCATTGAATGGTACTCATGTGCTACCCGGAGGTGTTTCCATTTGTGATGATGGCCCCATAAGGTTATAATGCCTGGTGATATCATAGCTGTCTTACTTTGCACAGCACATATGATGGTGGTCTCATAAGATTATATTGACTAGTAACATCATAGGTATCTTTGTGTACTCTATGATTATGTTTACACCATGACAAAAATCACCTAACGACTCATTTCTCAGAACAACTATCTCCAAGATAATTCCAGTATGACTATAATAAGACTTTAATCCTTTCTTTGTGCCAAACATGGGCTATAACATTTTTTTAAATCCCTGTCGTTGAGACTATAAATACTACTTAGATTGTTGAAACAGTAGTTCCTGTCAATGACTGCAAAGAGTTCTGTGTAAGTGAGAGCTGTGGAAGAGGTGTTTAAGAGCTAATGAAGCAGATTGTCCAGGGCCAGGCCAGGAAGCATAGACAGTGTCTTCAGTGTTCCAGCAGGGTAAACCTCAAGCAAGGAATTGTGAGCCACACAGAGGTCCTGGGGTCCAGAGTGAGCCTGTTCAAAGGTAAAGTCTTGCTCACAGCTTAAGACTGGGGATGGAAGGCCAGTGAGTAAACAGAAGCTTCAGCAAGGCTCTAGGATGTGAGAATGGCCCCCATAGACTCATATATTTGAATACTTGGTTCCCAGTTGGTGGACTTGTTTGGAAAGGATTAGAAGGTGTGGCTTTGTTGGAGAAGATGTGTCACTGGGATGGGGTTTGAGGTTTCAAAAGCCCACACCATTCCCAGCCAACTCTCTGCTTGTGTCTCATGTTTGTGGACCAGATGTGAGCCCCCAGCTACTGCTCCAGTGCCATGCCTGCTTGTCTGCTGCCATGCCCCCCACCATGATAGTCATGGACTAACCCTTTGCGACCATGAGCCCCTATTAAACACTTCCTCCTATATGTCACCGGGATCATGCTGTTTCTTCAAAGAAATAGAAAAGTAAATAAGACACCAGCATCTTAGAGGTATGACCCACCCTGTCTGGGTGCAGAAAGGCAAATGTTGCTTTGCTCTACAGTCCCAGAGCCTGGAACACTCATTTTGGGATTTCCTCATGAAGACTCAACTTTACAGTTAGTCCACAGCAGTCTGAAATGTCAAGTCTTTTCTTTGCCTCTCAGTGTCCTTGATCACCTTGAGCCCAGCTCTTTAGCCTCCACATTCTGTCTTGTGTCTGGCAGGAAGACTTCAGGGATGGAGGAGTCACTTTACAGCCATCTCCTTATTAGCCCCCTAATGAGCTGTGACATGGGCTGGCAGAGAGGGAGAAGATCCTGGGTCTTGAGGACATGCATCTACATACTGAGTAACTTGGGAAATCAGGCAGGGATCTTAAAATTCACCCCAGCTTCTCTTCCAACAAAAACAGTGCTGGTTCCATCTCATCCAAACTTGGGGACATCGTATTATATAAGCAGTCCATTAGCTCAATGACCAGTGACTCTTCTAGACATTGGAGAAACAGGATACAACATAAGCTTGGACACTGCCTGCATAACTCCTATCACTAGGGAGTGAGACAGAAAGTCATGACTAACCATATGTGTATATAATTGTGAACTACCATAAGTTCAAGGGAGGCAGAGTACATGGAATTAAGAGGGAGCATCTAAAGAGAATGGGTCTGGTCTGCTTTGCTTTAGAGAGGTGGGACCCTGATGGTTGCTAGCTAGCTTCCCTGGGGAGATGTCTGGAACACTCTCTGGAGAATAAATAGTAACTTGGTAAGAAAGAAAGATCTCTTCATGTGAAGGTGTCTGGATGCCAATGGGGCTGAACCTGGGCAGAAATGGGCTGTGCCAGATCTCATCTTCCCCAAGACCTGCCAAGATGTTCCCCAAGGATACAGGAGATCTAGGCCCAGGCCCTTCCTCAAAGATATTGCCCAAAGCAGTACCAAAACAGAGGTGGTGCACCAGTGTCCCCCATGACACTGTTGGGGCTTCTGAATGTCCACACTGGATGAGACCTTAGAGGAAATGAGATCAACTCTATTTCTTACACAGATGAGGAAGTGCAGGCTCAGAGAGATCAAGTGGTGTAGGTAGAAAGTCCATAGTCTGGGCTGTCTAATTTCAGTGCTCATGATCTGGGAGAGCACAGAGCTTGGTGACATCTGGTTGTAAACAAAGATTTCAGCATCCACTTGCCAGCTGCGTGTACTATTGTGAGTTACTCTGCCTTTTCCACTTGTTATGTCATCACTGCGTCTGTGTTCAACTGGAAGGAACTTTTTTGTGAAGGAGGCTAATTCCAAGGCCAGAGCTTGTAGGCTAATTTCAAAGAGTATAATTCCAAGGACGCTTGAGGAAGGGGTAATGGTTGTCCAGCAGGAAGGGAACAAGCACATGACAGAGAATGTTAGAATGAGCCACCCATAGTTGTGTACCACAGCAGCTGCTTCAGATGTTGCTCAGCTAACAGTACACAGCTGGGACAAGAGCATCTGTCAGCCCCAGCTCTCACCACCTGGGACTCATATTACAGGACATCACCTCTTCCACTCTCCAGTGCACCAGTATCCTAGGTGCCACTGAAGGAGTTGGATCCCCGGGCATCTATGGCCCAGCTGAAGGATAGGACCCATCTAGAGTGGGGTGGGCCTGACCTATGATTCCTCACTGTCTTTAAACCTGCCTGAAGCTGATGAGCCACAAAGGTTTAGACACAAAGCTGTCTGGCATGCCCACATATCTCAGCTGCCCTATGAAGCCTCAGAACTAGAACCCAGGCACATAGTATGAAGAGTGAGAGTCAGCAAGGGCAGACAGCAGGCAGCTGAGAGCACCACAGTGATGTGTCCCCAACCACCAAGTAAGTGGCAGCCCCTTGCTTAGCTCCCTCCAGTGGGAAGGAGAGGCCTTTGTGAGTGGCAGAAATACAGCTGCTGTTGAGTCACCTTTCAGGAGGGGTGTCAGGAATGGTGACAGGGATTCCTCTGCACCAAACAAACTCAAGGATAAGCAGAAGCTGCTGAAGGGATGAGGTGCTGGATGTCTATGGACAGGGCTGTCTCCCACATAGCCCTAGACAAAAAGCTAGCTCAATGCAGCTGTCAGTTCAGCAACAAGGGAAATAGTGTGGCATCAAAGGACCACACCAGGGGCTTGGGATTCACTCCAGGATCTCAAGGCTTATATAGTGAAGAATATAGTAGCTACCTGTATATAAGAATGAGATGCTCTGGTGATGACCTTAAAGCATTGGCTTGTTGTCACTCCTTTGTATAAGGAGTTGACAGGGCATATGGTGCATTAGTTGTAGAAGAGCATTTAAACACATTTCCTGTATTGCTTTCATGTAGATACGACTAGCGTTGGGAGTATGTTGTGAACAAAAACACAGGAATTCACAGAAGCAGGGCCAGAAGGCCAGCCAGGACTGAGTCTGAGCATAGGAGGTGAGGGTGGCTGTTTGAAGAACTTTGAGTTTGGATTTGTTTTGCCCTAGTCAGCCATCCTCCAGCCCTGCTTGGGGAAAGGTAGGCACATTCATCAGAGGGAGTGCCCCCATCTAACTTCATGGTTCAGAACAAAGTACCCCGTTGGCATGCAGCCCCATGTTGGCAGAATGGCACATTTAGGTTCAAAGAGACAAGAGCTTTGCAAGGCTTAGATTCAAGGCTCATAAGCCTGGGACATCAAATAGCTCACCAATGACATTTTGACGAATTAAGTGTAAATGAAGCTGAAATGCCTCATTCCATCTTCCCTTCTGAGAAGGGACTTTGTCAGAGACCCAGAGAGGTGGCTGTCTGTGGCCTCAATCCACTGGGAAGATTGGCCAGAGACATTTTGCTGGACTGAAAGAAAATTCAAATAGTCCCCTGAGATCACTTTTCACCTTGAAGCCAGAGACTATTTTAACTGCAAATAGATCATAGAATTGTACTCAGCATTCTTTAACAGAAAAAAAATTGATCCAGGGACCCCAGATG